CCCCCCCCCCCCCCCCTCTCTCTCTTTCTCTCTCCAGATTTCTTATTCATCGCCTCCTCCGTCTCTCCCATTCACGAATCGCCTCTCTTTCTCTTGTAAGGGTTAATATCTCCCTCTCTTCTTAGACTGTTCTTCTTGTCTGTTTCGTTTTGATTCTCGCTCAGTTCAGTTGATTCTTTGTTTTACTTTTTTTTTTTTTTTCCCCTCTGTTCTTGTTACTGATTTTTCTGTTTGGCTGCCGAGAAATTGAAGGAAAATCATGAATTACAAGTCTTTGTTTGTTGTTTGCCTCTTGTTCTACGAAAATCTTTGTCTTTTTTTCTTCTAGATCCGGTTTCTATTGATGATTCTACTGTATTTCGTTGCGATTTCAGGGTTTATTGTGTTTTTCAATTTGATTTGGCTCCAATCAAGAACCTATGTTTTGTTTTTCCTTCCTCACGTCTCTAGATTGAACTGATTGTGGTTGTATTTTGTGGTTTTTGAGTGTTGATTTGTGGAATTGAGCCTTTCTGGATTTATGTTTACTTTATCTCTGTGTTTTCTTCAGTGAAGGAAGGTTTTTCTCTTTGCGCGTGTCCCGTTCTCTTCTCCAATCCTTCACGTAATATAGAATCACTAATTTCTCTTCACCATTCGCACTCGAAGATTGCTTCAATGGAGGTCAAGCTTTGGAACGACAAGCGCGAGAGAGAAATGTACGACAATTTTGCAGAGCTCTACGCCATTATTAAGGCCACTGAAAAGCTTGAAAAGGCTTACGTCCGTGACATTATCCCCTCCTCCGATTATGAGACTGAATGCTTTAAACTCATCGCACATTTTAAAACCCTGGCCTCGACGCTCAAAGACACAGTCCCGAGTATTGAACGATTTGCAGACACATACAAAATGGACTGTCCGGCGGCGATTAATCGTCTTGTGATCTCTGGGGTGCCTGCGACGGTGGAGCACAGGGCATCTGCCGCTGCCTCCTCCACTACCTCCGCCGCCATTGTGGCGGAGTGTGTGCAGAACTTTATTACAGCTATGGATTCATTGAAACTGAATATGGTAGCTGTGGATCAAGTGCACCCCCTGCTCTCGGATCTCTTTGCTTCACTGAACAAATTGACCATTCTGCCGCCGGATTTTGAAGGGAAAACGAAGATGAAGGAGTGGCTTGGACGACTTTCGAAAATGGGCGCGGCGGATGAGTTAACTGAGCAGCAGGCTCGGCAGCTTCACTTTGATCTTGAATCTTCTTATAATTCATTCATGGCCGCTTTGCCTACTGCTGGTACTTGAATGTTAATGGCAATCTTGTGTGTGTGTAAATAAAGGCTTATTGATTTTGTCGTACTGCATAAATTCACTATCTTCATGAATGGATTGTGCTCCTTTTTCTTTCCTTTCAATATGGATTTCTGTTGAAGGAGTTGAACCCCTCTTTTATTTATTTATTCTTATATTCGTGCTCTTGAATTTCCATTGCTGCTTTAGATGGATTGGAAGAATTGTACTTGTAAATTATGATTGTTGTGAGAAAAATTTGTGCTTTGGAACTCGAGGAAAATGGGAACTGCACTGCAATGCACCAAGATGGGTTAGGCTTGGCTTAATGCCTGGACCCATGATCTTGTGAGTATCGATAGGTATGTTCTTCTATTAGGCTCTTTCTTTCAAACTCCTCGTGGGTTTGAAGAGAGTGCTATCAATTATGCTTGTGATATTCTGGTTTTTGTAAGAAAATATTTTGCTTTTGAAGCAGAGGAAAGTGGAAAATGCTGCCATGCTGCGCCAAGAGCTATATCTGCATCTGATCCACAAATCCTTTTTTAGGTACTTTTGGGGTTATGTGGGGTTGGATTTAGTGACTTTTTGGCTTTCAGTTCCAGAACTCGTGGGTTATTACATTGTTACAGATCTTTATTCAGTAACTTATTTCCTCATTGGCTGGCTCATTTCCCCAAACTATTTGTCCATTTTCTTCTCGCAGTAGTTTGTCCTCAATGCTGAATTTTCTTGTGTTTGAAGCATATCTTGCTAGTATAAAGCATGTCAATCCAAATCATGGCAAGCATCTATTTCCCAATCTTCGTCTTAGCAACTACGGCGGGCTTTGATTGCCTGGATCTCCCACCTTTCCAGTACCCAAGTAAGTTTTAAGTTGTGATTTCTAATGCCTATGGCTATACTTTTTTTCTTGAACTTTTTGTATCTCGAGTTCTAATGGACAAGTAATTCTAGTTTGAAAAGAACATTGAATCTAAAATTGATATAATTAAAGGTTTTTATGATGCCTAATTTGATTGAGTTGGATTTGATTGAATTGAGCCGTAAATTTGTTGTTAATTGTATGTTATTAATTGTATGTTAGTAAATTTGTTGTTAATTGTAGGTTCATAAGTGAAGAGTTTGGTCCACATGAAGAGTTTGGTCCATCCACCTACTTGGTTGTTGGGCAGTGTATTTGGACATTTTCTTTCCCCATCCTCGAGACATAGACTATATATGTGAGATCTCACATTGGTTGGAGAGGAGAACGAAGGATTCTTACAAGGGTGTTAAAACCCCTCCCTAGTAAATGCATTTTAAAAATCTGGAGGGAGGAGAAGTTCAAAGAGAACAATATTTACTAGCAGTGACTGCTCCAATATATATATATTAAAACTATATTCAATGAGGTCCACCATGATTTTATCTTGCAATTATATATATTAAAACTATATTGAATATAAGGTCCACCATGATTTTATCTTGCAATCTTGGATAGGGATAGCAGGTGGGGCATAGAGGCTGTGAGAATGTGAGAATGTGAGAAATACCTATCCATCCCTACGCAGGAAGGGGGCAGATTCCATTGCACTGAGCTGCCCATGTTCAATAATGTTTGCGAAGGATAATGGCACGTGAAGGTTGGAGTCTAGAAAGAAGATCATCTCCAACTTTTTGGTATCAATTCATTCCAAGCGTGCAACTTTGCTGCCATACGAATTAGTATTTTATTGCTACTGAGTATGGATGGACCTATCGTGTTGTGCTAATCTATTTTTTTTTTCGCTTCAATCCAAAACCGAACTTTTATGTCTATTTAGTTTATAAATTTTTATAAATTAGTGGAAAAGCCATAAAGTTTTCATCTTGTATTTATTAAAAAGAATTGTAAGTTCTTCTGTAAGTTTATTAACTTAAACGCAAATTTAAGATTAGGAGACTAAAATATAATCTAATTTTGAACTTCGTTAGAGCTTTGTTCATCCAAATTTAATAATTAATTTAAGAATTTAAATATTTTTCTAAAAATACAGGAAAATAAAATCTGGTTTTATTGGATAATTTAGAAATGTGTATTATTTTTTTTTTTTTTTTTTTTCCTAAAATGTGTTTAAAGGTCGAAACCCATTTTTATGTATGCAGTTATTTATATTATCAAAGAAGAAGTGTTTTGCACGGATTCAAAAAATAATATAAAAAATCTTAAAATCGTGTTGGAAAATTGAACCAACCGGGGGTTTGGTTAGTTAACCGTCGTCCAGCCTACGGTCCTTCTCAGTTCGGAGCCGGGCCAGCCCACCATTGCTGTCTAAACGCCCATGTTTCTTTTACTCTGATTGGGTCTCTCCGCCGGCCACCATCCACACAACATAGAGCACATACGTATAAGAGATCGATATCCAGACGTTTTTTCCTAATCGATTCTGTTCTGAAGATGGATCAATCCGGAGATTCAAAGCCCATCCTCAACCACCGTGTTCTCCTCCCCGATGGAAGCGTCACGCCGATGATTCTCACAGCTGACGGTTGTCTTCGGTGGTTGGAGGAAGGTCAACGGAGTTTGTCTGTTGATAAGGAGGTTCTCGGATTCTCCACGGATGGTCCGAATATTAGGATCAAAGCTCTCGTGGAGGACCTTGGTGGATTGCTGTGCTTTGGGAGCAGTGGAGGTTTGGTGAGGAAGGAGTTTGTGTTTCAACCACTTTCTGAGGAGTCGCGGGCGCTTTGGTGTCTGAAGCTCCGTGAATGCGTTGATTTGCTTGGTAATATTATCATTATCATCCGGAATCCTGCCTGGTTTTAATATTGACTTTGGTAGTTTTTGGTAGTTTAGGAAATGCATGGAAAGAAGGGATTACCTGTTTCTGCCTGTTGGTTGCTTTGATGATTTACTGTTTTGGTTTCTCTCCTCCAATCTCTCAAGAGCTTAATGAAAACTCATAATCTAATTCTTCGTTCTTGATACTATTCATTCGGCTTAATTTCGAAACGGAAAGAAAAGGAAACTCTTCTTATTACGATGATTCTCTTTGCAAATTCCTGTCGCCATATGTTAGTTTCGGTATAGGGATGAATATACGATGCATATGGTAAGGTGCGTTAGATTTTTGGCTGATTAAGAGTCCGAGAATCCTCCGTGATCTCTAATTCGGAGGCATTAATGGTATGCCTTGTTTTGGTATTTGATTTCTCGTAAGCAAAGCAAGGGAACGTCAATGCTTTTAGTGCTTCAAGCTCGTTCTGCCTAGTATTCTTTTCCCATTGTTTTCTGGAATAGTGACATCTATGTTCCCCCCAGGTCGTCCAAAGAGGCTGTTTGTTTTCGTTAACCCATTCGGTGGGAGAAGAGCTGGTTACAAAATCTATCTAGATGACGTGAAGCCTATTCTTGACGATGCCGAAATCGTTGTCACACTGCAAGGTGGGATTACTTCCCAGAGATCTGTAATAATTTCACTTTGAGTTCGACTTTAGCATTTAATAGGGGGTTTTATTAATTTCATTTCATCTGATTTTAACTTTAGAGACTAAATATCAGCGGCATGCGGAGGAGGTTGCTTATTCGTTGGATATTACCAAATACGATGGTATTGTTTGTGTTAGTGGTGATGGAATCTTGGTAGAGGTTTGTCGTCCTCCCCTTCTTGCTTCTTAAATTTATGGTCTTTCTACATTCTAGGTGCTTACTGCTTTAGCCTTCTCATTGTCACATTTGTTTTTTCTTCTGTTCTTGTTTCCATAGATGACTTCATCTTTATTTTCCCCCCTGTTTCCTCATTCTGACAAGCTTCACATTGTTTAGTAGGTAATAAACGGACTGCTGAGGAGAGATGATTGGGTTGATGCAATAAAGACACCTCTAGGAGTAGTGCCTGCAGGTGCCATACTCTTAGCTCTGTTGTGCGTGTGAATTGTAATGCCTATACCGAATCATTTCTGGTGAAAGAATTTGCGTGTCGTGTCTTATTGTACTCAATCTCAGTATATTTCCTCCTCAACTAACAAAAAAACATTCCCACTCTGTTACTATTATTGGGGTTCCCTGCGTTGATAGCTAACATACTAATGATGGAACAACGAGAATTCTATTAGTATTTATTGGGGTTTATAAATGCATAGGCACTGGAAATGGAATGGCGAAATCACTTCTTCACTCAATCGGTGACCCTTGTACAGCATGCCATGCTACTCTTGCCATCATTCGGGGTATGCATAGTTCTGTCAATTATTTTCCCGATCGTTTTCCCCCATCTCTAATTTTTATCTTCTTTTACTATATGTTTGAAGCATTTTGCCTGCAAATTTTAATTTCTTGCAGGCCATAAATGTTCATTGGATGTTGCCACCATTTCGCAAGGAGAGGTTAAACATTTTGCAGTGTTGATGCTTGCTTGGGGTAACTCTAACATAAAATCTCTCTCTTTAATTCGATCTGTAGTTGAGATTAATTTTTCTATTTCTCATGGAAAATGTAAAATTCTCTTTTTGCCGATGCTGTTGTTTCTGGTTTTTGCTTTGATTGTTATATGAAATAACTTTAGTTTGCCCACTCATCGACGATTGCTTCATTTCAGGATTGATAGCAGATATTGACATTGAGTCGGAAAAATATAGGTGGATGGGAAGTGCTCGGTTAGATTTTTATGTATGTATGACTAAATCATAGAAGATATGTTTGATACACAATTTATTTTGATTTGTTCTTCTGATGCTCTTTACGTCACAACATGTTTGTAAACTCAGTAAGAATAGTTATGAACAACAGAACAAACAAACTAAAAAGTGAATGACATATAGTATCTCTAAGAATAAAAGGTCAATTGGCTGTGAGCATATTATAATTTTAAATCTTCATGTATTTTTAGTTTTTCTTTTTAATTTATTTCTGGTGAGTTTATGTCTACGATGCAGAAATCTCTGGTTTAGAATTAATCAGTAACCCGTTGCATTGTGTGATTTTCAAATTCATCTGAGGTTCCCTCATATCATTGCAAAAGTGAATAATTGGTGTCACAATGCTAAGTATTTCTTGTGTTTAGGCTCTTCAACGAATTATAAGTTTGAGGCACTACAAAGGTGGTGTTTCTTTTGTACCTGCACCTGGATTTGAAGATTATGGAGAGCCGACGAGGTACGATTATGAAACTGCTAGCATAGTAGATGTTGACAAAAGTGATGGTGAGACCGATAATATTCGGCGGCATGGGTACGAAGGACCTAATATCAACTTGAAGGATTTGAATTGGAGAAAATTTGACGGACCTTTTATTTCAGTCTGGCTTCACAATGTACCTTGGGGAGCTGAAAACACCATGGCAGCACCAGATGCTAAGGTTAGTTTGTTTTGTGAAGTTGTTTGAATATTAATCGGAAATTCTCCTTGATATTGCAATAATGTTGTTTTCCTACAATGAACATATGGGTGTCAGTTTCCATACATGACCTTTGCATAGGATACACCATTTTGGATGTCTAGTTTGAAATGTATCATTTAGGCTCTCGTTAAAGATAACAATTCCAAATTATGACTTCGATTTTCTTTGGCAACTTCTATTTCCGCCTGAAACTGCCAAGGGGAAAAGCTAGCAAATTAAATCATCTCCTTTGGGTTGCCACAAGACTGAGTGATTTCTTCATATCCTGATTCCCCAGGTGTGAATCTTGCATCCGTTCATTATTTTGAACGGTTCTAGCATTTATGAATGTTGACAGATTTACTGTTAGTGATGTTTCAACACCTGAGTAACTGTGTGCAGAAAAGTATTAATATTATATTGTTTATATAATATTTATATCTTGTTGCTTATTTTTTATGTTTCATGAATGATTTTTTTACATATAATGGAAATGTCGATTTACCCCTTATATCATTGTCAAAGTCATGTATGGAAACTTGTTGAGCATTTAATATCATGGGTTTAATTGCCAAGTTACCTGTTGTTTGCCACTGCAGAGTTCTCTCACTTGGGTACTTGGGAATGCTACAATTTACTACTTTATCTTATGTGTGTTTAATGATGACGTATAATACCATTATTGTCTGTTGATATGCAGATGTCAGATGGTTTCTTGGACTTGATTATTATCAGAGACTGCCCAAAATTATCCTTGCTAGCGTTGATGACTGAGTTGAATAATGGAAGGCATGTCAAGTCACCATTTGTTACATATATCAAGGTTCATATTTCAGTTTTATGTTGACGTTTTCTATCTTCTATCAATCATCTCTTGCTAAGCTGTGATTTGTGACAGAAACCTTGAATGTTTCCTCTTGCATTGCATTGTGAAATTATTTTATCAGATTCTTATTTTGGTCTTTCAGTTTTTTCTCGAGATGTTCTTCATATTGAGCAACTAATTGTAGGTCAAAGCATTTATTTTGACACCTGGCACGCGGGTGGAGGAGCCTAACAAAGAAGGAATTATAGACGCAGATGGAGAGGTCTTAGCTTTGGGGAGGGAAACTATCACGAGTGGTCAGAAAACTCTTATGAATTATGATAAACTTCAAATCAGCATGCATCAAGGGTTAGCTACTCTATTTTCCCCTTGTAGGGATTGATCAAATCAGATTATCTTGATCCAATTTTATTGCTGATTTGGAAGAGGAAACAACCCTGATTTTTTCCCCTCAACTGTAAAGAAATAATATATAGCAATTTAAGAGGTGGCAAAATTGGGTGCATAACTGTCGTCTTGGAAAATTTTCAGTTCATAATTGTTCTTGATGTCTAGTGTTTCTGTTACAGACTAAAGACATAATAATACAAACACAAATATTAATACCAAATTAAAGGTATTCATGACCTTGTTTAGATGTTAGGTGCAGGTTCCAGTTCACAAAAGTGAAGTACACGAGAAT